CAAGTGCCCGTCCCGCCTCCGTGCATTACCAGGTTATTTTCTGAGTGAGCCGTGGACAAGCTGGAGCTCTGACCCCTTTGTGTGTTTCCTCCCCAGAAAGGAACGAGTGGGGCTGTGCTGCTGACCAGCTCCTCGCCCTTAAATCTACTGTCCTCATCTTACAAGGCAGGCAGCCCAAAGCTGCCCGGGGCCGTGAACTCGAACTCCTTGGGGATCATCTCCCCGTTTCCTCTCCGTGTGGTCTCCTTTAGCCCTGACTCCTCTGCCAAAGCAGGGGTCTCCAAGGACGCCATCGTCACAGGCCCTGCCCCTGGGACGTTCCACCACGGCCTCAGCCACAGTAAGTGCTTCTCCCCTTTCTCTCCTCACGCTGGAGGCGCAGAAAGTGCCCTGGGACCTCTCCTGTGCAGAGTTCTGTTGTGTACCGGGTTCCTGTGTGTGTCTGGTGTGTGGCCATGGGCATTGTTCTTGGGGACTATGCTGAGCCCGGGGCTTTCAACCAAGACCAGCCCGTAGGCTGTCTGGGGCTCTGGACCACCAAGGCTGCTTTTTTGTTTCCGTCTTCAATGTGTGTGTTTTGTTCTTTTCTCCCCTCCTGTTTTCTCTCAGGTCTCCTGGCTGGCTTGCACTCCAGCCCACCCCACGCAGCGCCTCTCCCACACGCTGCTGTGTCCACCCACATCCCGCAGAGTTTGCCAGGTAATTGCCAGGCGGTCAGAGTGCCACATGCACTGTGCGCCATTTCCCTCTCCACGCAACAGGTGCCTTGTCTGCTGCCAAAAATTTCAGTGTCTTTACCTTGTTGTCATTGTGTCGTCTTGGTTTGTCCTTCAAGGCTCTGGCTCGGGGTACTCAGAATGGCACAAGCGGCTTCTGCTTTGAGATTTACCCTTGTTCCCTGCCACTGAGTCAGTCTTACCCGGTGTGATCACCGAGGAAGTCAGGGTGGCCTGCCTGCCTGTGAGGCATAGGAGTCCTCAACCCTTAGCTCAACTTTTATTCTTTAATTATAAAAAAAAAAATAGAAGGGTAATGCTGCTTATCTTCTAAGGGCTGGTTGGGGCCCTGCAAAGTGGTACCAGCGAATCGATGGCTCTTTAAACCTAGGTTACCTGAAGAGGAAGTCCAAGTAAAGAGGTCATAGTGGCAAGGCTTCAGGAGGGACATTTACCTCTGATATCGGCAGGTATCTGAGAGGAGCCGCTATTAATTCAGTTCAGATGTAAAAGCAGAGATTTTGGGGCACAAAGGAATTGGGGCAGCTTTCTCTTTCTTCTGCTTCTCCTCTCCAGAGAGCAGTGGCTTTCAGGAAGGGACCCTCTACAAGCCCTAGGTTTATAGCTGTGAGAGGCTGGCACCTTTGTCATCAGCGATTGGCCTCGCCCTGACCTGGGACCTGATTGTTAGGTACAGCTAATGGAATGCTGGTGTAGAGCCTCGGGGATCTTGGTTTTGGTCTACTGCTCTTCTTACTACTTTAGACCTGCTCCAGAAACAACCAGAGGGCTACATTGGTTGGGGAGAGCCATACCTTCAGGAAGCTGAGCCTGGGGCAGCCCTGGTAGACTGGTACCCGGTGAGAATAAGACAGTGAGCCGCCCAGCTGGACATGCCAAGAGTACCACATTGAGAGTGCTCGCTAGTCCCGACACTGCCTGAGTCTGTCCATTCCAGATTTGCTGTGAGTCCCTAGCTTCTGTGTCCCTAGGCTCATCCATTCGTAGTGAATGCCAGAAGCCATCTGGGTGCAAGATTGGATTGTAAATCTCCAAAATGGACATACTGCCTCTCAGAGAAAGAACTGAGGGGCTAAGCTTGTATCAGCAGTTACTCTGTTTTCTCCTGGAGAAGCAGTTCTCCTGGACTCACTGCACAAACTAGTGGCTGCCGCTGAAGCCAAGATTATAATGTAGGGGTTGCATATCTACCTGGGTGAGAGAGCGCATGGTTTTTGAAAGGGAGGTAGCACTGCCTCTGCTTGCTTTTGGAAACCTCACCCTTTCAAATAGAGACAATTGAAGAACCATTGGAAACATGACTGTTGGTCTGTGGGATTTTCAGCAAAAAAGAGAAGAATGCTTTCTCGTACTATTTCTTTCCTGTTTTTCCTCTGGATATTAAGAGGCTCTCAGAAAAGCATCTATGCCAGAACAGGCTAAGTAGGCTCTTTTCTCCTTTAGACCAGGCTTTAGGATTCCATCGAGTGGTTGTAAATGAGAAACTGGGCATTTTAGCTGTGTGACTTGTGTCTGCTTTGCTTTCTTTCCTATGTGGACCCAGAATGCTAGTGCTTTGTGGCTTGTTTTTATAATACCTGAGGGTCTTTTGATGATGAGAATGCTGATTGCTCCTTGAGTTCAGTGTGACCGTCAAATGTCATCATGGAACCACAGTCTGCCACATGATGTTAGTTGTAGCCAAGAACTGAAGTGGCCCACATTGCATAGCAGAGCTGCTCTGAGCACAGCACTCAGTGAGCAGCTGCCTTCACAGTGCTCAGAGGGCCAGGCATGCTGCAGGCTGCTGCAAGTAGCAGTGCACTCATATCACCTCTGTCAAGTGTTTTTGGCTCATTTGAGCCCAGAACACTAACAGACGCAGGCTTTTGTTACTTAGGAAGTGATCTCGTTGAGGTTTGGTTACTGCTACCTTAAGGGAATCGGATCCAGAAGGATTTATGTTCTGTTTTTGCTTATTTTTTTTCAGATGCTTCTCAGCTCCATGGGAAAGGGCCCGGTGTACCACGAAAATTGTGACCTCTTCAGAGGAAAAGCTGGAAGCCGAACGAGTAGGGTTCTGAAATTGGATAATCACTATACTCTTTCTGCCGATTGGTTTTCTTCTGGAGAAGGCGTGAGTGCTAAGTGGAGCATCTCTTGGCACTTGTGACGTGCCTTCAGTTAGGGGAGCAGCCTCGTGCTTCTCCAGAGGTACTGACTGGCCTGGTGTTCCAGGCCTCGTGGCTTTGTCGCGGACAATCGTTGGAGGGGCAGCTCTAGGCCGGGCAGTGCGTTGGGTCATGTACGGAGCTCTGGTGGCAGGACTGAACAATTGGCACACCTGTGTTGTAAATGTGCCCAGCCCCCTGGCATTTGGTCAGAGTACCTCATGGCGCCCTACTGGTCAGGGGCTCCTTCTGGCCACAGTAGGATCTCAGGATGGTCATGGTGTCCATCCCATCCTCAGGCTGTGTGCTCAGTGGACAGAAACCCAGGCTAACGCCACCGCTGGGAGACTTGTCTCTGAAAAATATTCAGAACACCTAGTGTGTGCTCATTGTGGGGGCCAGTTTCTCCACTAAATATGACAATGAAGCTCTTTTAGAGAAAGGACCTTTGTAGATGCAACAATTGTGATAGGATTTTTAAAGACACTTATTTTTGGCTCCGTTTTCTTCATTACCATTAAATGCATTGGATAGAATGGGACTGTTCTTCGTACGTCATATTATAGGAAGACATAATTCCAGTGCCTTGATGGTGGAGCAGAATTAGACACATGTCCATTTGGCCCTCTGAGTAGATCTCAGATGAAGATCTTTTTAAAAGATGTCTGTACTTAAGACATAACCAGTTTTGAGGTTTTTTTTTACGATTGCACATCATAATCTGTGCCATTTTGACATAAAGGTCATCTGGGTCCCCAAATCCTAGCTCCCAATTCAGCCAGGGCCCCCATTTTATTTTTATGCCAGGTGGATTGCAGAGCCCCAAAGGCCTTCTTCATCTCTTAGAGGGTGAGGACATGAGGGGTTCCCAGTCACAGGTAGACATTCCAGTTTTATTTAGAAATCATTCTCAGGCAGAGCTGCAGGAACAGGTGTCTGAAGTGTCTGCTGTGAAACAGGCCTTTAAAGTCCTGGGACTCTCCAGGCAGCAGGGCTGTGCTTGATTTAAGGATAATGCTGAGTTTGGAGAGTGTGTCAGAGGCAGACTGGGACAGTTAACCACAGAGCTCCCAAGTCACCACGCTGTTCCCACTTAACCAGTGGCTGCTTCACAAGTTTTAGGACAGTCGCCTATATCCTGTGAAGTATGCGCCACAAGGCGTGTCTGAACTGACTGCTTCAGCTAAGTGATTTCAGATATTTTGAGAGTAACCAGCCTCCTCAGAATGTACACCTGTGTGGAGACACAGGCAGCTCTTTTGGTTCCTGACGACCAGGGTCCAGTGCTCAGTAACTCACGCTTCATGCCGGGGTTTGCCTGGTGTCTGGGGAGCACAGCCTCTGTCAGCTGGTTGGCCAGGCCTCTGCTCTGACTTCTTACATAAGACCCAACACGTGTTTCACATGGGGCTACATGGATTCCTTATCCCTTTATTATATATATTTTTTGCAACTTGGGTTTCCAGTTTGTTTACAGAATAGTCTTAGGAAGTAGCAAAAGAGCCAAAGAAGAGATTTGTATTGCTGAGCTCAGAGCCGTGCAGAGACTGCCCGAGAGCGCCTTCTCTGCCTGAGACCCCGGTTTCCCCGCTACAGTGCCCCCCTCCCCATGTACCGTTGAGTGTGCAGCTGGAGCAGAATACCCTCATTTGTAGGAATCTAGTGATGCCTCTTGCCTCAGGGAAACGTTTCTTTGATGGGGAGATTTTTTTCTTGTTTATGCTTTATTTGTGGTAATGAAGGAGTGAATGACTTAAAACAGCCATGGCAAGGCAAATCTACAGGCAGGGCGGGCTCCAGGCCTGGGGGCTGCAGCGCTGCGGGGCTTGGGGCTTTCCTTGGCAGCCGTTTCTTAGGTGTGAAAGGGGCTGTGGCTTTGGCACAGCCAATAGGTTGGTGTTGGGGGTGGTGTGGAAATTGTTAATCTTGTATAAAGCAACTTAATAAATTGTTTCAAAGTTTCCAAAACATTTTCTCATTCTTTTCCTTTTACCGTATTTGCAATTAGTTTTTCTTTCTATAGGGGCTGGTATATATGAGCTATCTATTTTGTCTGAAAAAGAGGGAGTAGGGGCATAAACTGCACATACAAAAGAGGAAGAAACACTTAGCATGCAGTTAGAATCAAGCCACCAGGTGTTTTATTTTTGTGCTGTAAGTGGAGCTCCCTATTACTTCCCATTTTCTTATGTAATACATGAGATACAGAGAATGCGAAATTTGAAAATTCGTTTGGTGAAAAATCAACTGTGTAGCATATACCTAAATACCAGTTAAGAGAATAAGCAAGACTTGTAAGGCACTGAAGCCAAGGCTAACAGCAACACAGTCCACTGTGAAAACACTTTAATTTCAGAACCAGAAAACAGTCTCTGATGGTGCATTTTCCTGGGACAGTCTGGCTGACAGAGGGCCAGACACTGCTGGTTTCTTTGCACCTTTTCTGGCACAGATCACTGATCTGTCTCTCCAGAAGTCTGACGGAAAGTTGGCTTTCAGCGACTCCTGGAGGGCTGTGAATGCAGGTCAGCAGCTCCGAGGCGCCCAGTCCTTTGATGAATGGAAAGGTGTGTGGAAGGCCTTTCTGCCCTAGAGATTCCCCAGCCGGTGTGTGAAGGCTGGTGCTGCATGGGGCAGGCTTGTTTGCCTCGGTTGCCTTGTGCTTTAGTGTTCGGACTGCTTCCAGGTGTTGCACGAGGAGTCTGTTGATGGGAGTGTGTAGAAAAGGAAGAGAGAAGGGCTGCTGGGTTTTGAATCATTGGAGGACAAAGCAGGTCACTCATCTGGGTTGAAAGACGGTGCACCTAGTGCATGTCCCACCTATAGGTGAACTGTACTCTGAGTAGCCTGGCAGCTAGGGCGTGGGTGACATGCTCAGCTCCACACGGATTAGGAGCCTGCACAGGGCCAGAGAGAAGACACCGAGAGGTGATGGGGAAGGAACAAGCCAGTGTCTGCTTCCAAGAAGACTAAGGGCTGGGCTGTGCCTACTTCTGTCCAGACACCAGGACGGCCAGCTCCTGGATGGACATATCCTTGTTGACGTAGCAGTCGTACTGAGCAGGGGTCAGCCTTCCATTCTGCAGGGCCTCTTCAATGGAGAACTTCTTGCCAGACTTCCTGTCATGGATCACAGAGGACTCCCCATTGGGACCCTTGACCGATATTTCCTCCCAGTCGCACTCCTGGCTCCTGAGTTTCACAAACATGTTCCAGTCGATGAGGCCGGCCCGGTGGGCTTCCTCTGGGGACAGCTCCCGGCCCGTGTCGGGGTCGATGACCACGATGGAGCGCCGAAGATGGTTCTCTCTCTGCTCCCTCTTGACGGCCGCGGAGCCCAGGCGCTTCTGCAGCTCATCAATCTCGAGATCTTTGTCCTTGGAGAGCCTCTTGAGGTCGTCCAATTCTCTCTCCAGGGACCACAGTCTGGAGTTGAGTTTCGTTCCAGAGTCCACCACAGTCATGTTTCTCAGATCTCGTGTTTCCGTCGCAGCCATTTCAATTTCCGATTGGAGCCTTCGGGTCTCAAGCTCCAGGTTCTGCCGCTCCAGCTGCAGCCTGTGGTTTTCCTCCCTGAGGAAGTCCAGCTCCTTGGACGACTTGGAGTTGTGGAACTCCAGCTCCGACAGCTTGGCTTCCAGTCGGCTTACCTCCGCATCCAGCTCCCTCTTGCTCCGGCTCTCCTCCTCCAGGCTGCTCTTGAGTTTCTGAATCTCTTGTTCGGTGTCACCTTTCTCCACCTGGACGCTTTCGGAGAAGACCACCTTCTCCTTGACCTCCATCTTCTCCAGGTTGATGAGCTTCTTCTTCAGGGTCTCGAGCTCGCTCTCGAGGACCTGCCGCCGGTGCCTTTCTTCCTCCAGCTGGAGTTTGAGCAGGGAGTGCTCGCGGGCCTGCTGGGGGTCCTGCTGTAGCACCACTTTCTGCTTGAGGGTCACCTTCTCTCGGGCTTCCCCCTCCTCCTTCTCCAGGTCAGCCAGCCGCTGCTTCAGGCGCTGCACCTCCAGCTCAGCCTCCCTGCGCGCCTGCCGCTCACGCTCCAGCTCCTCGAGCTGGCGCTCCAGCTCAGCCCGCCGGCGCTGCAGCCGCCGCAGCTCCCCACGGAGGTGGTCGATCTGCCGGAGCTCCACGTCAATGCTCTGGGTGAAGGCATCCACCTCGGCCCGCAGGCCCGGCTCCTCCTCGTACCTGACCACCTCCTGTTGGACCACCTTTTCCTTCACCTGGGAAAGCTCCTTCTCCTTCTGTTTGATTTTCTCCTCCTGGGAAGCCCTCTCCCTTTCTAGATCCACTTGCTTCTTCTGTTCCTCTGACAGTCTGGCCCTCAAAGATTCCACTTCCTCTTTGGTTTGGGGGTCTTCCTGGAACTGGAGAATCTCCTGGACCACCTCCTTGGTCTGTACCTGGGGTTTGGTGTCTTTCAAGGACTGAATCTCTTGCTTCAGCTGGTAGATCTCTAAATCACACCTTTCAATGAGTCTGGTCTTGTCAACGATCTCCTCTCGGAGCCTCTGGAGCTCTTTCTCCATCTCAGGGTCAGTCTTGTACTTAATGACTTCCTTCGTCACTTCTTTCACTTCCACCTGGGGACCCCGCCTCCTGAGCGCCTCCAGCTCGCTCTGGTAGCTCTTCAGCTGCTCCTCTGCACCCCGATACTTGCGTTCCTGCTCCACGAGCTCCAGGCGGAGGTTGGCCACTTCGCTCTCTGCCTTGGGGTCCGGGCGGACGATCTCCCGCACCTTCTCCTGCACCACCACCTTGGCGTTTTCCTCTTCCAAGGCCCAAATCTTCTGGAGCAGCTCGCTCTTCACCCTCTGGTGGGCACGAGTCTTGGCGGCCTCGTCCTCATACTGGCGTTTGAGGTCGCTGGCCTCCCTCTCAGCTGCCACGTCCTTTTCTACCTTGAGCACCTCTTTGACGGTGACCTTCCCCTCGGCCATGGCCCGCTCTTTCTCCAGCCTCTTCAGCTTGTCCTGCAGGAAGCTCAGCTCCTCCTCCTGCTTCTCCCTGCGCTTGCCCTCCCGCTGCTGGTCCTCCTGCAGCTGCCGGTACTCTGCCTCCAGCTGGGGGTCGTTCTGCAGTTTCACCACCTCCTTCTCTGTGACCTTCTCCCGCTCTCGGTTCTTCTCCTCGGCCAGGGCTGCTATGCGCTGCTGCAGGAGAACCGCCTCCGCTTCCCGGGTGCCCTTCTGCCGCCTCAGCTCCTCCAGCTCCTCCCTCAGCCTCAGGACCTGGTCGGCCTGGGCTCTGTCTGGCTCGATGCGCAGGACCTCCTTAACCACATACTCCTGCCCCCCGTTCCTGGTCTCCTGCTCCAGGGCGCGCAGCCGCAGCTGCAACGCCTCCAGTTCCTCCTGCAGCAGCTGGTTCTTGTGCTGCTCCTCCGCCAGGGTCCGCTGCATCTGCTGGAAGCTCTCCTCCAGCGCGGGGTCCGGCACCTTCTTCAGCACCTCCTTCCTCACCACTGCTTCCTGGGGCCTCTGATTCTGCAGAATCCGGATTTCCTCCTGGGCGCTCTTGACCTCATTCTCTAGCTGCTGCCTCCGCTCGGTCTCTTCGTCCAGCTCCTTCTGAATCTTCCATGTCTCCTCTGTTCTGGAGCCGGAATTGCTCCCTTGCAGGGTTTCATGGGTCACTCCTACCTCTGGCTGCTGGGAAAGAGAAGACAGCACATGGTTAAAGCCGGGCTCTCCACACGGCCTGTTGCCACCTGGTCACCTAACAGGTCAGACTGGTTGTCCTATGATCCTAAGGGACTCTCAGTGCCGAGTTCACAGGAGTTCTAGCTAGGGTGACTTTTAAAAAATGGTAAAAACAACTAGGCTTTTAAAATGTATCTGTTAAAGTATTTTAAAACCACAGAGGAGTGTGAAGTGAAACCACCTCTGGTCTCGCTCCTAGAAGGGTATCTGTCATCCAGTGACACATATATTTTTAGTGTGTACCATGTGTTTATTTTTCTGCACAAATAGTAAGTCTTCTGTTCTGCACCCTGCTTATTGCACTTAAGTAATAGAGAATCCCATAGCGGCACAGGGCTCTGCTTCATTGTGAGACAGCTACATATGAACAGACCATAATTTAATCACCCGCTGATGAGTATTGAGTTGCTTCCAGTTTCTTGCTATTACAGTGCTGTCATAAACATTGTGTACTTTAAAAATAAATTACCTTTTACTGGACACTCAGCAGATGTTTGTCGGATGGAATACAGAAGTTACATGCATGCCCATGGAGGTGCTGGCTTGGGCTAGTGTTTGCACTGGTGCCGCCCAGCCATGTTAGCAAGGCGCACTCCCACTAGTTCACGGCTGTTTTTTTGAGGCCAAATGAGTCTTATTTCTCACCTGCTGGAATAGTTTTGAGTAGAATGTCTTACACTGATATCTATTACCTGTCTCAGGAGATTCAGAGCAAACTCCAGGTTCTGCAACCTCTGTCTGTTGATGGCGTTAACTTCAGTGAACTTGGCAGCAAGAGCCGCTTCCTATGGAGAGTAATCAGCAAACAGGAGTCAGCAGGCTGAGAAAGAGCTAGGACAGGTTTTGAAAAATCTGGCATTGGGGGATAGAGGGTAGCTTCTTGTCCCTTCCTATCCTGAGTTCTAGTCTCATCTGGTGGAGAGAAAACTGAATTTAGGTTCAGAAATCTAAATCCGCAGTGGCCTTGAGCAGGTCTCCGTCTGAGCATTAATGTTCTCGTGTAGAAGGACTGATAACCTCAGCTTTCCTGTGTGCATACTGAGGGGGTGCAAAGTGGGGACCTCCCAAACCCATGGCTCTGGCCCAGAACTCCACTGGGCTGCCTTTCTAGGCGCATCAGTGTCCCTGCACCCCTGAGGGTGCCCAGCCCAGTTTCCCTACTGCATGTGCATCTCCGAGGCCTGCATGCTGCGCTCCCTGCAGAGCCGGCAGCTCCACGATCGCCCAGCCACAGAGCTCACCTCTTCCCTCACTTTAGCAGCAGGGGACTGGAGCCTGGCTCTCTTGCTCACATGGTTGCTCCTTCCATTCTCCAAGTCAAGAAGGGACCTTAGTTTCTCTGCTTCTAATTCATAGTCCTGGGTGAGAAAGAGACATGGCAGAGGGCAGACAAGGGCAGTTGGGACTGCAATGTTCTTACAGACCTTCCAGCTAACTGCAAAGGTCTTCCGCTCAGCGGCACCCTGTGCTGACTGCCAGAGGTTTTGCGAGCCTTCAGGACATCAACAGTACATAGCTGCATCCCTGAACAACATGTGAAGGCTCCCTCTGGGCCTTCTCTGCATGCCTAGAGTGTCGTTCTGCTTTTTCATTGAACTTGGGCTGCCATCTCCTGACCCTCTGGTTAACAGTTTGACAGCTTTATAATCCATCAAATGGATGGATAATTTACTTAAACTGTTCCTCTGCTAGTAGACACTTAGGTTATTTCTAGTTTGTCTATTTTGCTATTATAAACAATGCTGTTAAAATGATTTTGCTTATATTATTATTCTGTTTTTTTCTTTAGAATAAATCCCTCCCACTTTACTGCTTCAAACAGTAGAAAACCCTTTTCTGGCATTCAATGACTAGTACCATATTGTTTTCCCAAATGACTGTGCCAGTTTGCACAGCTGCCGGCAGGGCCTGAGGATGACACTGCCGGGCCCAGTGCTTCTCTCCCAGCTAACCTGGTGGAAAGAGGCCCTGCTGCATTACACTCTGGGCAGGGTTTCACGTCTCACCTTGACAGCTTGCTGGTACTGCTGGGAATGAGCACAGACTTGCTGTACTTCCTGTTCCCTTCTTGCTATTTCATCTAGCAGGTTCTGTCAAATAAAAGAGACTTTAAAAATCAAAAGTTTTTTAAAACCTGATAAGTTAGCTCGATTCCTTAAATCTGAAATTCTTCTATAGTACAAAGTATAATGAATGGCTTCCTTGTATACATGTTTGTTACAAAAGGCAACTCTAAGGTCCTATGAGGAAGGGCCAAGAAGATAATTATCTTTGCCAAGAAATGTTTACTGAGTGCTTCAAAATGTCAGGCAGTATTCTAATATCTTACTTAGATAATCTCACTTAATCTTCCAACAATCCTGTGAGGTAAGTACCATCGTTATGCAGTTTATGAAAGGAAACCAAGGCATGGTGAAGTTCAGTGACTTGCCCAAGGGGACACAGCTACTAGGGGTAAACCAGGATTTGAGTTTAGGCTGTTGGGTTCCCATGTTCTCATCCCTCACTCTCCGGGACTGCTTCCTTCTGAGGACTCTGACTTCGAAAATGGGATTTTTCCCCACGAGGGCGCTGCTTATGTTTCCGTAGCCATTCGCTTGTGTAGCCAGCCTGTGCTAAGTGTCCACCCTAAGCCAGTCCCCTTGCTGGGCACTGGGGAGGGAGAAGCGAGCAAGACCATTCTTGTTCTCAAGAGTGAGATGTGCTGAGAATCAAGCAAGGCTGAGGTCCCATGAGGACACAGCTCTGTCAGGGCAAGTGGCAGCCGCGGCCTGGCTTCCCTCCACAAAAGGGGCCGGCTAACTGACCTCTGACCTTCCCCTTCTTGTGGCCATATGCCTCTGAATGAGGAAGCAGCTGTCTTACCTTCTGATTCTTCAGCTTAGTTTCCATCTGGCCGAGGCTGTCCGTCTCCTGGGGCTCGTAACTGGGAATGTTGGACAGGAACTGGAGCACACGGTCGCAGCCGCTGCGGTAGTCATCGTAAGCAGCCCTGGCGCCCCGCAGGCTCTGGGCCCTACGGGGGCAAAGCCAGTTAGGCCTCGGCCACAGCAAGCAGGCGCCTCACTGAAAGCATCCCCTACCCTTTCTAAAAGAAGTCATCTCTGTTTGTTTTTTTAAAGTTGGGGGACCAAATGGGATTTAACTGGAAATAACCTAAACATTCACTAGAAAGGGAACAAATTGTGGGACGTTAAGTTGGAGTACTCCCGGCCTCTGTGAAGAACAGGTAGGTCCAGTTCTCGTGCACTGACGTGCAGAGATACACACTGTGGACTGCCGGACCAAGTAATCTGTGAGTCCAAAGAGCTATCACAAGGGAAGCCAGAAAATCTTTTAAACTCACCAAAAATAAAAACATATCAAAATGTGTGGGAAATGGCAAAAGCAGTGCAGAGAGGGAAATATGAGGATTAAATGTTTATATTAGAAGAAAACTCTCAAATCCACCTTAAGAAAAAAAGCAAATTAAACCTAATGTAAGCAGCAGTAAGGAAATAATAAAAAACAGATGTCAATTCAACAGGAAACAAGAAAACGGGAGAAAGATTGTTGAAACCATAGCTAGTTCTTTGAAATGGTCAACAAATTGATAAACCTCAGAAAGATCAGGAAAAAAGAGAATCTACAAATATAGCAAAAGAGGATATAACATCAGGAATGAGAGAGGACATCCCCTCAGATCCTGCAGGCACTAAAAAGATAAGAGATTATGAACAATTTTATGTCAATAAATTCAACAACTTGATGAGATAGATTCCTTGAAAGACACAAACTACTGACAACTCAAGAATGAGATGACCCAAGTAGTCCAAGTATCTATTAAAGAGGTTGAATTTATAGTTAAAATCTGCACACACAAAAAACAAAATTGCAGGCCTACATTGCCTCACTGGTGAATTCTAGCAAGCATTTAAAGAAGTAATATCAGTTCTATAGAAACCCTTCCAGAAAACAGAAGAGAAGGGAACATTGACTGACTCATGAAGCCAGCAAAACATAACAGGAAAAATAGCAAGACATGGTATCCATAGTCTTTTGTCATTCATGTGTTATCCACCTACCCCAGCTCGTACAGAACCATTTGCAAGGTTCACAAAAAACTGGTAGCAGCGCTTATCTTGGGGAAAAGGGGCTGGCCATTTAATCACTTGAGTTTTACTTTGTATTGCATTTTTTCAAAAAGTGGAAATTTAGAAAACAACTTTTGGTGTGGCATCGACAGAGATCCCACTCTGGTGGCCTCAAGGCAGACTGGCTCAGCCAAGGCTGCCACCCCCATCCTCGGCCCCTCACCTGAGCTCAGCCTGCTGGCAGAGGTTGTCCAAACGCTGGCCCAGCTTGTGGACCTCAGCCTCCTGGCGTTCCAGGTCCGGGCAGTGCTCCTGGAAGCGGCTAGCCAGCGAGTTGGAGCACTGCTTGACTGCCTGCAGGTTCTGCTCCACCTCCCCGAGGAGGGACTTCTTCTGGGCCTGCAGCTCGGAGGCCAGGGCCTGCGGGGCAGAGAGGCAGACGTGGGTGCTGTGGCCAGAGCTCTTGGGCTAGCGCAGCACTGCCCCAGGCACTTGGGGTCGCTTGCCTTGGGGGAAAGGGTGGAAAGCCTGGGCATTGGAAGTGTTTGCCTTTGCATTTCTCCTCAAGACTGGTGGCCATTTCTGCAGTGTTCCCTTTTGTCATAATGAACAAAACCTGGGAAAACTTTAAAACCCTGCAGACTTGAATACCAACAGCAGCCAGGCAGGCAAATGCTGGGGACTGGGGTAGCGGCTCCAAAATACTCGGGGGCTTATAGAAAGCTTTGGTTTTAAATACTAGCACTTTATTGCCACAAGCCACACAGATCCCATGAGCAGCTGGGATTTGTGCCATGGGCCTCCATTTGCAACTTGCAATTTGGCACACTGCAGGCATCCACACCTGGAGAAACAAATTGCCTGGGCCCTGGGGCCGTGGTCCCCTCTGCATTTGTCCAGAGGTGCTATGGTGGGAGCCTAGAGAGAAAGGCTCCTGAGGCCCAGGGTCCCCAGACTTACCGCCAACTCCTGCCTCTTGCTATCCAGGGCGCGGCCACTCTCAGGCACCGTGTCATCCTGGGTCAGCTGGTTCTCATAGGTGGCCAGCACCTCTCGGCCCTGCTGCAGGCTCTTCTCCAGACGGTTGGCAACGTCGATCCTGAGGACATGGGTCAGGAGTGTGGGGGTGCCTCTCTGGCCCCTTGACCCCGCCCGACCTCCCCACTGCCTGCCTGCCTGCCACCTACTTCTCCTGGGCCAAGTCCAGCAGCTGCACCAGGCGCTCGTATCTGTGCTTGGTGTCCTCCACCCGGGTCCTCAGCAGGGGTGCACTGCCGCTGCCCGGGAGGGCCTGCACGAAGGCCTCGCACTCAGCCATGCCACGCGCCTTCTCAGGCTCAATCCGCAGCAGCTCATTGGTGATGTTCTGTCAGGACCGGAGATGCTTGTGTTGGCCACAGCTGGGCAGAACCCCCCACCCCCAGGGGCCTACAAGCTTCAGCGCGGGGCACGGAGGTCTCATTTGTACTGAGCATTCCAGGGATTCTGCAGCAGGGGACTGTCCTTCACACAGGGTGAGGTGAAGAGGCCATTACCAAGCACGCACTGTCAAGTACTGCACGTGACTTCTCTCATCTTTGGGGCAACCCTATGGAATAGGGTTTTTTTCGTCCTTCACACAGGGTGAGGTGAAGAGGCCATTACCGAGCATGCACTGTCAAGCACTGCATGTGACTTCTCTCTTTGGGGCAACCCTATGGAATAGGGTTTTTTTTCCTCCCCACTCATAGGTGGGGACCCTACGACTCCAAGCAGCTTAGGCACGGATGTGGTGGGGTCCTCTGTGCTCCTGCCCGTCCCAGGCGTCCGCTGGGCCCTGACTTGGCGCCTAGCAGCCACATCAAGGGCCACCGCACTTATCTAAGCCCAGTTCCTCCCCTAACCCAGGAATGGTCATGCCCACTGCGGAGGGCACCTGAGGACTCAGGAGACTGTGTGTGCATGTGAAAGAGGGGTGATGGATTGTTCACATGCCGCCGCTCTGCCCTATGGCCTCCTGCTCCGCTCGGCACTGAGCTGCTCAGGCAACAAGCCCTGCAGAGGCAGCGCGAGCCTCACCAGCCCTCTCCCAGGGGTGTGTTTGCGAGGTGCCAGGGCTCAGGCACCTCCTCCTTGATCCTTGGCCTAGCACATCTCCCCACAACTCAGGAATTCTTGTTACGTGGCAGGTGGTCCCCTTTGAGCATCAAGACCCCCATGAGCATGAGACCTTAAGCAGGGGGCCCAGCCGTGCCCCCCAGCTTGGTGGTACCTTGAGGTCCTTGGCACGCTCAGCACTGTCCTGCACAGCCCGGCCCTGCTCCAGCGGTGGCCGCAGGATTCCCGTGACGGCCTTCTCCTGCCGGTCTAGGTCACTGGCCACCTTATCCAAGCCGGCCAGCAGCTGCCGCCCTTGCAGGTCAGAGGCATCTGTCGGAGGGAAATCGGAAGGTCAGGTGGCAGTAGGGGGCATGAGGCCCGGGGCATGGGCCTACGAGTCCAACTGGGACTTCTGGGGCCAGCCCAGCCTCCCCAGCCATTGTCATGCCCAGTCCCTGCTATTCCATTCACAGCACAGACCATGGGTCCAGCACCTCCTCCCTGTTCCCCCACAGCCTGGGGCAGTGGGCCCAGCACCGACCTCCAGGGTTCTCGGCCTTCAGCACCTCGTGCCGCTGCTGGAGTGCACTTCTGCTCCCGGCTGCCTTCTGCCGCACACTGCGGTACTGGCTGCCCAGGCTGTGAGAGCAGAAAGGGGCTGCGGACCCAGGGTAGCGCACCACCCCTCTACCCACAGACGCAGGACCCTGGATTCTGGCTAGGCAGACTGCCCAGAGGAGGCAGGTAGCTCATCAAAAGCTTTGAAAAGTTAAACCACAATACACAGAAAGAGTTTGCTGAAACACTGGTCTTTCTGTCACTCCTGGGTTCAGATGGACCCCTTCCTTCCTTTCCTTCCCTCCTCTTCATAGCAAGCCTTACTACCTAAAATGATCTCGTTTGTTCCTTCATCTTCCCCACCACGATGTTTCCCCCGAGGAAGCAGTACATAGTAGGTGCTCAATAAATACTTGCTAAATGAATAAATGAAGGCATTCCCTGAATCACTCATTCGACAAAGAATTCTGGGGTCCCCACTTTGCACCAGGTACTGAACAAGGCCCCGGAGACAGTAAATGAGAGCCACTGCCCATGAGACAGATGCATACACGCAGCATCCTGGTGAAGAGCTAGACGTGCAGCGGGAGGAGGTGCTTGAGAGCAAAGACGCAGCAGGAAGTGAGCCAGGGTGGAAGGGGAGGGGGCGGTCAGAGAAGGTTTCACAGAAGAGGTGACTTGAGCTGAGTCAAGCCAAGAAGCCTGAGCCAACCGGGCAGTGAGTGAGTAAGTATCCAAGTAGAGGGCACAAATAGCATGTGCAAAGGCCCAGAGGGACTCGCAGAGAAACCGCTCACTGAACTGTGCCCACAGTTGGACATTCACACACAGCAAGTCAGCCCAGCCAACAGCATCTGCCCATCCCAAGTGGGTGTAGGTGTTACCCAGGGCTGTGCCCAGGGCATAGAGCCAGTTCATGCTGGCTCCCTCCTTTGTCCGTACCTGTCGGCCAGAGCCAGGGCCTCAGGGTCAGTGGGGGGGATCATGAAGCAGACGGCCGGGGCAGTCAGCTTGTTCCCTGCGCTGTCAGTGAGGTCCCAGCTCTCCCCGTTGTTCTTCTGCAGGGTGTAGCTGTAGCCCCTTGAGATCAGGCCCTGGCAGGGGCAGGCCAAACAGGGCACAGAGGGACCTGCTTCAGCTGGTGGCCCAGGAGCAAAGAAGCCATTTCCTCCCTGGGGAGTCTTAGCCCATCTCTCAGACCCTCCCCAAGACATTGTCCTGTAGAGTTGGGAAGGACCAGGGGATGTGTTGGGTCTGCAGGCTCGGCACCCACCTGGATTTCCCTTTGAGAACTCCCCTCCTCGCCATTCCCACCCAGTCTGTGTGGTCTCTCCCTTCTCCATTCCCGGTCCCTGACTACAACAGGTGGACACGTGACTCGTGCCTGGCAATGAGAGAATGGTATCATCCCCCCGGCCCCAGTGATTGGTTTAGGCTGGGCATGACAAACTGGGCCAGTGAGAACCCTTCCTGGGATTTCTGCTGGAATGACTGTGGTTGCTGAACTGGTAGCACAGAAGGTCAGGGCAACTGGTGGGGCACTGTTAGGGGCCGGCAGAGAGTGACCCCAAACGACAGAGATGAGCACAGTGTGTTTGAGGCCCTGCATCCAGCCATGTCACCCTTAAGACCTTTCAGTGACACAAAAAGAGATCGGGGCCTGGCCTGCCTGGGGTACCTGGGCAGCAGCTCACCTGGTCACCCTCAAAGTCACAGAGTGCCTCCACGGGGATGGGCTTGAGTGGCGTCTCCCGGCGGTACTTGAGGGGCACCACCTGTTGCCCTCGCTTCTGCAGGCCCCGCACCACGTGCTCATACTTGTCAAGAGCTTTCTCTTGGTCCTGAATGCAGGAGGAGTGTCCCTGTGAGTCCACACAGCCTCCCTGGGGCTGAGGGCGGGGAGGGGACAGGGAGAGACCCTCACTGGGCCCATCACTCACATCCAGCTCCTGCAGCAGCAGCTCGATCTGGTATTGGTCCTTGAAGTCAGGGCTGTATTTCTGGTTCAGGTCCGAATCCACCTTGCGCAGCAGCTCCTGAGCATCCTTCACGTCTTTGTGGAACTAGGGGAGACCGGGTGGCCCAGTTACAGACATAAAAGCACTAAGGCCCCTGGGGCTAATCCCGACTATGGCTTCAAGTCCAATCCCAGGTAGAACTGGGCCTCCCACTCACCCTGAGTCCACAGGCCCTGCTGCTTGGAGACATCCCCAGCCCTCCCTGGCCTGGCTCCTTGCGGGGGAGTCTCGGGGGGAAGAAGCCAAATTTCTTCCCACCAATCCACATGACGCCACCTCTAAGACATATTAATTTTCACGTACACACCAGTAAGCTTGGGATTCTCTTGAATCCTATTCTCTTTGTGCCAGGGATACCCTGACTTAATGCTAAACTTTCATTCTAAGTCCTGATACATGGAAGACAAGTCTCCCCACATTGTTCTAGAAAATTCTCTCGCCCATTCTTCAGTCCATCAACTCTGGAATTGTTCATGGTCAGCTATCCTCTGGGCTGCAGCCGTGAATGAGATTTTGGGACTTTAGGCTCAGATACCGAACCATCAGTTACATGTCATGTGAATTCATGTGTCCCCAAAACTGCCCACTCATAATTCCCTGCAGCTCTTGTTAAAAACACACATTCCCATGGAAACAACCCAGTATCCATCAATGGATGAGTGGATAATTGTGGTCTATCCATACAATGGAATGTTATTCAGCCATAAACAGGAATAAAGTTCTGATCCATGCCACAAGGTAGACGAACCTTGAAAACATGTTCAGTGAAAGAAGCCAGACACAAAATGACACATAGCAGGTGATTCCACTTACACGAAATAGCCGGAATAGGCAAAACCAAAGAGACAGAAATAGATTAGAGGTTACCAGGGGTTGGGGGAGAGAAGAATGAGGAGTGATTGTTTAATGGGTTCAGAGTTCCTATTTGGGATGATGAAAAAGTTTTAGAAAGACAGTGGTTGCACAACACTGAATAGAATGAATACCCCTGGATTGTACACCTAAAAATGGCTAAAATGGCAAATTTTATATTATATTATATATTA